AAATCATTGACACTGTATAAGAATCAACCAGATGCTCCATAGCATAAAGCTCTTCAACAGTTTCTGTCTCTACTGTATTTTCCCAAGTAGTTCATGTACAAATCGGCATATATGCATATCAATTTCAGATGCCATATTCAATAAATGTATCCTAATGAACCTCACTTCAGTTTCCACGTAAAAAGCACGGGAAAGAAAGTCAAACAAAGTCTAATTTCATCAATTATTCAGAAAACTAAGGGGCAAAGCACCAAAGCCACATGATTACAGAACTGCATTACTGCATACAACCCTCTTCCATCCATAGGTACTCCCAACGCGTCGACCACACGCCCTAGCATCCTCAAACTCACGAATTAATCAATCTCCATAAAATTTCAAGAAATTCGACATGATTTCGAAGTCAAAACTCAGATCACTCCCAAAAAACTCATGCCAATAATTCAATTATATCATATTATATCATATCACATCAATTAATGTAGCAATAACTAAGGAGCTCACCTTGATTTGATCGGAGAGGGATACCAAGGACCCGACGAAGCAGAAAGAACCTGATGACTTTATTTATACATACCTACGTATATTTCTACGTAATTATATCCTTTGTAATTAAGGATCCTGAAAGAAATTTTTTTTTTTTTTGCCCTAAATTGAGATGATGAAGAATTGTTGCAATTGCGGTGGTAGATGCAAAGGCAAAAAAAAACTTTGTTTGGTTTTGTTTATCTTGGGTTTTCCGCCATTGATTGATAGGGCCACTTGCCATGTGGGCCATTAAACGGACTGGGAAATGGATACGAAAAGTTAAATTTGGGTTTTCAACTTGGAATTTTTTTCTTTTCATCCTCAACCTTTACAATATATTACTAATCTATCCTTAAACCTTTTTTTTTTTTTAAGTATCAAACATCTCCAACTTTTTACTTCTACAAACAGACCCCACTTAGAAAATACAAAAGCGTTTATAAAATTTGGAAAAAACACTAATGATCCAGGTTCCAATCTACATTCAGATGATGAAGACGTCATTATTTGATGCAATTATTCAGGTGATCTTTGGGTAGCCAAACTGGTTTCTCAGAAGAAAGGGCACCTGAGTACAAATTCACTGGGAATTCTGCGGATTACTCATTCTTCTGAAATTTTTGTTCCATACTTGCTATTAATTCTTTTGGAATTCTGTTTGTACGCACTTTCGCGTGTTCTATCTCATCTTTTTCTGAGCAAAAGACAGTAAATCATCAAATATACATTCAACAGTTTGTCTCTTATTCAGTGAGAAATAATATCATAGAATTAACGAGTGAAATTGAATAAATTACTACGAGAGTACAATCCAATGAAATAGTTGTTTCATGCTAACTTGGGAGATATTTTTATGGGCATTCCTTGAGAAGGAAATGGAAGTGGATCTATGGCGATTGGCTCTTCGGGAGATATTAAAGACCAGTCATATCGAGTTACTACATAATGTACAAATATAAGAATATTTAACTTGGCAAGTTGGTATCCAGCACATAATCTTGGTCCTCCACCAAATGGTAGAAAAGCATAAGGTTGAACCGGTTCATCGAATCTTCCAGGGTCGAAAGCCAGAGGATCGTGAAAATACTCTTCGTCGTAATGTGTTCCATATGTAGTCCACAACACCTGCATTCAAACCACAATAAGAACGGCCTTTCTTTTGAGTTAATCTACTTTATTTATCTTGTGTTTCAGCTTTTTACCTTCCATCCTTTTGGAATTGTGTAACCATCATACTCTATATCGTCGATTGCTTTTCTGAAGGACCCGAAAATGGGAGGGAAAATCCTCATGCTTTCGCAAGCAACTTGCCAGGTATACTTCATCTTTTTCGTATCTTCGTATGTGAGAACTTCATTTGGTCTTTTGCTTCTTAGTACAATGTCATGTTCTATAAGAAATCGAACGAAAATGATTTTCCATGATAATCACAACGGTAAATCTGAATACGTGGAAATCAAGATTTCGATTACCTTGAAGGAGAGTAGAATAGCAATTGGGATGATGCCCCAACATCCTGAATGTCATGGCAATGGCAAAAGAAGTAGTATCATGTGCTGCAAACACTAACAAAACCACATTATCTATGACCTCAGCCTCAGTAATTTCACCGCGAATAAGTGCTGCCACTAATCGAGAAAGTAGAATTCCTTCTCCTTCTCCTTCTCCTTCTATCTGATTTTCCATTTCGTCTCGGTTTTTCCTTATAATGTCACCCAACATTTCTTTTATCTCTCCTCTTGCCCTCTTTGCACTTGAAAACTTGGAGCCCGGAAAAGTGACAGGGAAAGCAAATACGCCTTCTAAAACCCTCTCGAATGTTTCTAACATGCCCGGTTTCACTTCAATTCCAAACAAGCATTCAAGCACAATGGTAAATGTTAAAACTTTTGTCAGATGATACAGGCCAAGTTTTTCGCGCCCGTGCCAATATTTTTCCATGTGTGCTTCAACTGTTTTGCAAATTTTAGGCACCAGAGCATCTAGGCCAGTAGAATTAAGGCTAGTAGCCACAATCCCACGAAGGCATCGGTGTGCCTCGCCCTGTTTCTCCATTATAGAGTCCTTTCCCATGAGCTGGACAGATGAGGTAGGCCATGAACTTATCACCAACTTGAATTCATTAGACAAGAAGAACTTGTTGGCTTCAGCTCCATTTACCACCACAGTAGGCGACCCCATAAGCCTCGTTTTGAATGTTTTACCATATTTTTGAATCCGGGGCTCAACAAAATCCTCAAATAATCTGTTCTTCCTTAGAGCTTTGCAGAAATCTATTGTTTCACCAATCCAGGGAATTCCCATTTGCCCTGGTGGAACTTTCTTCTTGGTTTTATCCTTACCACTCCTATAATGTGTCAAGAAAATGGCTAATATGACAGCAAGAAAAACTGAAAATGATAAATAAACAAGAAAATTCATTTCAAGATCCATAGATAAGGACGAGAAAAAGATTTACAGAGAAATGAAAGTTGGGTAGAGATGAGCTACTATATATATATATTATGCAGTATGCATGAGAGAATATTGTATATAATTAATTAATAAAAGTCAACTTCTTTGATTACTTGGAAAAAGTCAGCCAATCGTGTGATCACAATCATTCCATCCAGTGTATTATTGTAGGATCTACCATTGAAATATTTCACAAAAAATCATATGCATTGCATGTGCTTTCTGCTTACCAATCTTATGTAATCACCTAATCAATTCTACACTTGATCATCATAAATCATCTGAAGGATTGAATATACAGGATTTAAAACTGCATGGGCGGCACATTAGTCTAACATTATTAAAATTCTTAATCAACACAGTATCCCTACAAATCTGGTTAGCTGAATAATTAACTGAGTCGACGCTTCAAGTGGAACTTACATGCCTGGCATGGAACTGGAATCTTCTCTATAATCAATGACCATTAGGACCATAACGAGTCTTTTGGCATCACAGATGCATAATACTGAACAATATCAAAGTTACAATCTTATTGTTAATTATATTTGATAATAGTCACGACCATCTATCAAAGCAAAAATAAGGAATAGGTCGTGCACGGTTCTATAGAAATTTTTCGATATGTCCGGGGGGCAGCGGGGTGAGAGAGATGACTGAAGACTAAGTTCATTTTAAAACTGGGATTGCCTTAGATTAAAGATTTGTGAAGAATAAAAAAGTAGTTGACCACTGAGAAGTTGAGTGACATCAAAAAATGTGTTGGACATACAGCACATGATGAAAGGGATCTGTATGGATATTTTCAAATGTGACAACAAGGTTCAAGCTAAGGTTATATCATGGATGAAGAATTCCTATACTCTCGGGTGGGGTCGGTGCTGACTATGACAGTAATGCTCGCAAACCTCAAAAAATTGCATGCACCGACCAAATCCTCGGAAGAGTACGAATTTTGGATCTGAAATGATACCATGTTCAAATGTTCTGTCTATGACAACAAGCAAAACATTGTTTTGATGTGTTGATACATAGCTATTTGTCACATATGGGCTTGGTGTTATTCTAACGTAATTTATGACTCGGTGCGATTTTTATTTGTTACATATGGCCGTTGTTCGAACCACATTTTTTGGGATAATAGAGTTTCTAATATTTTTTGGAGATCGAGTGATTAAAAGTATGAAAAATTTTTAGATTTATGTACAAAATTATTTGATTGTAAAGAAAATATGATTGAAAATGAGTTTGAAGAAAAATGAATTCTTTAATAATGGGACTCAAATAAGAGCATAGTTTTATTGTCTACTGCTCTCATCAATATTCTTTGTTGAGTATTCCTCTTATATCACAACATGATTATTTATTCATAATATTGGATTGTTGTGAAAGCTTGCTTCAATAATCATTAAATCGGTATTTTTCAGGCTCATTTTCACGTTATCTTTCTCTACCAAACAATCAATTTAAAAGGTTCCAATCCACAACCAATATATTCACCTCGATTACTTCTCAATTTCACCCACAAAGAACAAAATAACGGTAATGATTTACTACAAAGGCACGAGCAAAACAGTGAAAGAAACAAAAGGTGGAGACCAAAAAGAAATAGGAAGTCGCCAGAATTATTCATAATATTTGATGTCATCGCTAGATGTACTTGTTGTCACGGAGTCCGTAACTGTAGGAAAAAAATTACATACATTATAAATTTAATAATTTGCAAATTAAAAAACAAGGATATAATATGATTATTACACAATTTGTAGAATGAATTACACAAACAAAATGAGATTTATCATTACTCAGTTGTAAGTTAAAATTTATAACATTAAAACAATGAATAGAGTAGAATAGACAGTGCGTGTTACAGTAATTGTAAAGAAATTTACACACTTTAAGTAGCCAAAATATTTTGTAAAAAAAATTGTATACAGTTAAGAATTTACATAAATTTTATCACCGTATTTTCATTAAGCACGGGTTTATATTCTAATTTCGAAATATTTAACAAATATCAGTACTTTTCAATTCAACCGCCTATGTTTTCATGTTTGTGTAAATTGCCCTTAACAGTAACAAAATAAGTAATTGAAAAGGAAATTTAACTTAGGAGGGCACAACAAAATGAGCCCACATGCAGCAAAGCCTGGACCAAAAGAATGAAGGCCGAAAGTAAGCATGTGCGAAGATATGGTTTGGATCGATTTCAACTCCAGCTCGAAATCAAAATCAAATTAGTTGGTTTGGACGAATTTTAACCTAAACCAAATCAAATCGGTTTGGTTCAATTTCGATCTGTCAGTTTGGACTTTTAATCTAAATTTATTTTTATTTTTTTAAAATTGTTTGAGTTTTAGGACCACTTAGATTATGAGAACTAAAATAACCAAATAATTTTATATTACAAGAACTATTGACTAACAAATAATAGAAAACTTCAATAATTTTGTTGCTTTTTTATGTATTGTGTAGTCTGATAGTTTGAGTAGAAAAAATGTTGAGTATAATAAAATAAGCTTATGAAATGAAATTTTCAGTGCTATTACTTATTGACAATATCATAGATTGGAGGGAATCGAGATATAATATGAGATTCGGGCTTATCTTTTGATTTTGATTTTTTAAATAAATAGAAAGTAAACATGTAATTGGATTGGGTTGGTTTGATTAACCAAAGAGACTTCAAATTATGATTAAACCGATCTACCATGATTTTGTTTAAAAAAAAATCAAACAAAACCAATTATCTCTATCAAATCGACTTGAACTGACCCAAGTCGGTAGCCAAGAGCCTAAATTTCTTTAAGGATAATTGCAGCTGCAACCCTAAACATTTCAAAATATTGCAAAATTTCTCCTAATGTTTTATTTGTTGCGCCATGGTTTCAAATCTTTCAATTGCATGCCTCTAGAGCGCAAATAGATGGAAACTGTCTAATCGTCCATTATTTGACCAAGAAAACTAAAATCTAACATTTTTTTACCAAAATATTGGAGGATAAAATCATCTATTTACCTAAAATAATTTTATAATCAAAATTCTCAGTTATTTTTTCACGTCTTCCACTTACAATCAGGAGAACATTGTACCATAATATTCCACCTTAAACTCATTTGAAACTCATGAATCTAATGAAGGAAATATCGAATGTGCTTTCGATCTGGAGAGGTTCCTTCCTTGCACTACTATATGATAAGTGTCAAAATTTCTTCTAGATTGGTGATGGTTTTCAAAGTAAATTAGTAAAAAGTCCACATTTTTTTTTTGAGAAACCCATGTATTTGGATGATATTCACGAACTTATTTAACATTTTTCTCGTAATCGAAGTTTTGTTTGGTAGTTTGTCGTCAATGAATGTGCAAGGGTTTTAAAAAATTTCGTGAAGTGAAATATTTGAACAAAATTTTACAATGAGTATGTAGTCCTGATTATTGCTTGAAGGCTATTTGTTATGATCGTAGTTTATATATATATTTCCCTTTTGAGGAGAGAACTCCACATATTCCATGATCAAGCTGAATTGTGGTAGGTTTTATTTTCCAATATGCGAAATTATGTGTATGAACATAGTAAGATCAATTTTCAAAATTGCATGGACCTGAATTTCTTTAATTGATTTTTATTAGACAATGCAATGAAAATGTTAGGATACTTTGAGCCAATGAGATATTTGTATTAGGAAAAAAAAAAAAAAAAAAAAAAGGTTGGCTGAGATATCATTATAGCTAGTTACTGGTATAGACTTCACGAGTATAGTGAAATTATTTGGTGACATAAAAGTTGTAGATCTTTATTGTTTGCCTAAATTTGAAGTTCTAGAATTTCCACAGGATGATAAAATACTTTTCATGATTGAAGTAACTGATCCTGAAATTGGTGAGCTGCTAGAGAGGGTGAATTTCTCACCTGAATATAAGGTTGGACAAGAAAGTAAAAGTAGAAACGATGAAATTTCGAGTGTAGTTAGTTCTTCCAAGTACGTGTGATGGGGCTGAAGGCTAAAGTCCTACAAATGCTCAACTAAAAGGTGAGGAAAATTCAACGATTGGAAATAGAAGCATTGTCAGCTCCCAAATTTGTTCTCTCTATCTTCGATTTAGTTTTCTTTCCCTTCACTGTGTCGACACAATAGACAAAGTGAATAAGAGAGTGTTAATCCGTGATTAGGAAAGAGAACCAAGACAAAGCTCTTTTCATTTGTAATATTCAGCTGCACTAGAAAGATGAGAAAAAGATAAAAATTTACATTGATTTATCAAAAAATATATATATTAATTTAAAATCATATTTATGTTTTCACATCTCAAGATCTTTTTCCAACTGCAAGATATTCCTTAACTCCATTTATTAATCTCAATACTTCGAAGTCATTTGTATCTATGTTAGGCCCCGTTAGACTCTTATTTTTATAAGAATGCGAATGAATAGAAAGTCAAATACGATGACTTGATATGATGGATAACAATCATATTTTTCATTTTTTAACTAAAAAATAGAAATTAAACAGGGGCTTAATATTTAATGGTGTGACGTGGAAAAGTCGAGCCTACGTACCGTTAGTATAACAATAAAAAATTTAAGGGATCATTGTTAAGAAAAAAACTTCAATGGCCATTTTGGAGTTCTCATCAAACTTTTGCTGCTGAAATTAACCCTTTGTTTTCCTAAATAGCATTTTGATTCACGTTCACCAGATGTTTCCACATGAATGAAGAAACCTGCCACAACTCGGAAACTGCAGCGAATGCAAACAAAACCCACATTTTGGTAACCCAATTTGATTACCCGAAAGATTTTTCCTATTAGCAATTTTCGTCTTTACTAGATTTTCTCTTTATTTGGTTAAATCTGATTTTAGATGAATTCTTGATTACCCTGAAGTGATAGCGATAGTGTTTTGCACGGTTGCTTCTTGGTTTAGGAAGCAACAATAGAAAATGAAGTTGTTTTCATATGCCATATCTATATTTAGATGTTATAGTTCTAAAGCTTCCTTTTTCAATCAAACAAAATGGGGTAAAAATAACTATTTCAAGAACAAGACCAAGAAAAGTGGAAATGATACTCCTAAGAGGCCTAGAATCAAGTGGACTGATGAACAAAATCAAGTTTTGGATGCTATTTCAAATGGGAAGTCTGTTTTTATTACTGGGTCAGCGGGGACAGGAAAAACTTTTGTACTTGAGCGTGCTATAAAGACTCTTAAGAAAATTCATGGTCGTTCTAATGTCTATGTGAGCGTCCACAGGGGTAGCTGCTCTTTCCCTTGGAGGGCAAACCCTTCATTCGTTTGCTGGTGTTGGCATTGGTGATGCAGATCGTGCAAGTTTAGTAGAAAGGGTTCTTTCTAATAAAAGGGCACACTGGAGGTGGAAAAGGGTTAAAGCATTGGTTATTGATGAAGCAAGCATGATTGATACTGAATTGTTTGAAGGTCTTGAATATATCGCCCGGTCTTTTCGAAATGAAGAAGGGATGGGTGAGAACAAGATTTGGGGCGGAATACAGCTGGTTGTGAGCGGAGACTTTTTTCAGTTACCTCCAGTACTCAAGAAAAAGAAGAAGGGTGCAAAGAAATTTGCTTTCGAGGCTGATTGTTGGAATGCAAGTTTTGACATGCAAATTGAGCTTACTAAACCATTCAGGCAATTAAAAGATAAGACACTCATCAGAATCCTCCAGGGAATAAGAAAAGGGGAGTGTGATCCTGGGGATTTAGAATTTTTGGAAGGATGTTGCTCTGGAGGTGAGCCAGATCCTTCAGCTGTACGGCTGTACCCAAGGATTGAAGATGTAAACAAGGTGAACAAGATGAAAATGGAGAGCTTAAAGGAGAATATTGTTGTTTATAGTGCTATTGATTTGGGTGAGGATCCATGGAAAAGGCAGCTTAAGCATGGGATTGCACCTGACGAGCTAGAACTTTGTAAAGGTGCTAGGGTGATGCTGACTAAAAATAAAAATCCCTGGCGCAAACTTGTGAATGGTGCCACTGGTACAGTTAAGGATTTCAGCCAGGCCTCTGATGAGCAACATAAAAAATATAAAGCGTGCGATGGTTTCAGTAATTTACCAGTTGTGGAATTTGACTGTGGCATAGAAATGAAGGTTGAGCCAGAAATATGGACTGTCATGGATGGGGACAAAGTCGTTGCCGTGCGAAGGCAGATCCCTCTCATACTGTCATGGGCTTTAAGCATTCACAAGTGCCAGGGAATGACTCTTGACAAGCTCCATACGGATCTGAAGCGCGTTTTTGACTTCGGGATGGTCTATGTTGCACTTTCACGCATAAGACTCTTGAGAGGCCTTCATTTGGCAGGTTTTGATCCCTCAAAGATCAAGGCACATCCAAAAGTTTTGCAGTTCTATTCTAAATTTTCTGGTAAGCAGGATGAGCAAGGGGAGGATTCTATAGCTGACAAGAATTAATTTTTGTAGCATAAATTTGCTTAGTTTTTAGGATAAGATGCTTAGACCAATATCATAGTTCTTGAATCAAGTTTCATTATCAAAAAGAGCATGGCATTTTACATCATCTTGATTGGAACATAATATTCATGTGAAGATTTAGCAATAATAGTGGCTATCTTTCTTCAAGTGAAAGAGAGGATAGAAAAACCATCGCCCAAACGACATTCCAGGTTATGGCCTCGACTAGCTCGCAAATAGCTGATTGCAACACTTTGCTTACGATGTTCTGCATTTACACAAAATATTTGCTAATGATGAAGGAAGCTTCATCTTTTCTTGTGCTCAGGTAAAAATTTAATTGTAATTCACATAGTTAAACAGCGACATCATTTAATTTCTCATACCACAACATAGTTCTATATTTCAATTATTCCTCGATCAACAGCATGTAAACACAAAGAAAGGCACTTTCGTGAAAAGGGAAATCCACTTGGTATTATGGAATCTTACTCTTAACATCTCTGGTACACGTTAGTTAATTCAAAAACTAGAGCCTATTTTAGAAACAATAAACCTAATTCAAAGATTGTAAGTAATTATTAAACCAGAGACCAATATGATTTACGTTTGTTTACCTATATATTTAAGAGCAAATCGAGACTTCAGTGGACAGGACAGGAATCACCAAATTGAACTCGAGGGCTTCATCAAATATAGAATGCATTCATTTAGCAATTCAAGACTAATTTCATATGTTAAAATGAAAAAAAATACAACAATGTCAAAACACAAAACACAAATAAAAAAAGTTAAAGAATAGAAAAAATTGCAACAATA